TACTTTCAAGCTATCCTTCGCACAAACAGTTGAACTAAGAAACAAATTTTTTAATTAATCACACAATTGAATCCATCTTACATGACACATAGTTATAAATGAAGAATAATGTTGGGTAATTCTAAGGGAGGACAAACATAACTTAATATAGAAGCGTTTGAACTAAATAAAAAAATAAATCACATAAAAACTTATATGAAATGGCTACTGTTAATTTAAAAAAATAAAAGAAATAGTTAACATAAAATAAGAAGATATTAAAAAATAATGTTTTTATAAATCAAATGTAAATAAAATTAAATTAAAAAATGCTTAATAACATGTAGTGGTAATGATAAAATTAATAAATCAAATTAACTCATGTTATAAAATCTTAATAACTTTACATAATCATTTAAGAATGTGAGACATCTTAGAATGTAAGTAAAACAAATTAAATAAGAATTTGTGCAAATGGTGTTTATAATAAATCAATAGTGAGCAATCATATGATATAGCAACTGACAAATTGTTTATAATAATTAATTTACCTTGAATGATATGTAGGGCAATAGGAATTTAACATCATCAATTATCTACGATTTTCTTTTCAAAGAAGTCATGATGTGTTGTAGTAGCATGAAAATTTTCCAAACAACTTTTATAAGGGAATACGGAGAAGGCCTTAGTTGCAAGACATCAAACGACAGTTAAATGTCAAATGCTCTATTATTATATGTATTTACTGAAATTAGAATATGTAGGATTTATTAAACCTATCCACATAAAGGTTATTCACTTTAAAAGGGCGTAATCATATGAAAAAAATTAAATAGTAATTGCTTTCCAATTTGTTGTATAGCCATTGATATATGGTAAGATTATTAATCCCTTTTAATATGAGAAATTCATGATTTTATAGTGGTTCATGTGTACGAGGTCTTCAATTTGGAACCATCCCGGTCGGACCTAAGATCGACGACACGAGGCCTTCAATAATTTTATCAAAATTTCGGCAGCCTCCCGGCGTCTCCTCTCCACCGAGGGAGAAATCGGGACGGCAATGCCGTAATTCTTCCTACCTTGACCTAAGGTCGACGGCGTAAGGTCTTCGATTTCAAACCATCTCACCAGGAACTAAGTTCAACTGCGTGAGGTCTTCAATTTGGAACCATCCCGGTCGGACCTAAGATCGACGACACGATGTCTTCAATTTAAATTCTTCCCAACCGGATTTAAAATCGACGGTTTGAGGTGTTTAGTTGTGCAAAAAAATTCAGATAGCTGCTTACATAAATCAATACTGAGCAATTTTAAGCATAGGTCAATTGTTGGAAGTAGATTTGTTGACATTGCAAGACATGTGTTTTGGAAATAAATTTGTTTATACACCAAGACATGAGGTGCTAAATGCGGTTGGCAAATAAATAAATGCAAAAAGAATCAAGATAAAGTTTGAGTTATGCTGTTGAAAGATGTTTAGATAGCTTTTAAAACCAGTAAAATAGAAATAAAGATTGAAAAAGAATCATAAGGTTTTCTCGCTATGGATGTAAGAATTAAAGTGGTGACAAACAAAATGAATTTGTAAGGATAGGTCAAAATAAATTAAAAATTTAGATATTTTCCAATAAAAAAAAGAATATTTAAAAGAAATAATGCTAACAAAGTTAATAGAAAAGATAAAATGATTTGAATTTGGGGAGCTTCAATGGACTCATATGGATATGAGGATAAAAAGTTTGCGATTGTTACTTTATAATGATTGTGATGAATGAATAACGGGTTAAAGTTATTCATGTTATCGGACTCTCAAAAAACACTGGTTGATTTATATAGGGAATTTAGTTATTAAAAATTATTATGAGAAACAACAATTGCTCTTAACTCATGAACAAAAGTGTGTTAGAGAAAGTTAGATGCTCGGTAATTATAAAATTTAAAAATCAAATAAATCAATTTTTTTAGAGTTTAATAACTTTACACAATCACTATAAATAAGAATGTGAGACATCTTAGAATGTAAGTAAAAATAAGTAAATAAGAATTTTTGCGAAGTCTTTACATAAATCAATTATGAGCAATTATATGATCTAGTAAATGACAAATTGTTTATAATAGTTAACTTACCTTGAATGATATGTAGGGCAAGAGGATTATCAAAAAACAGCAGCGAACAATGAGCAGGTCAAAATCGTCGGTTGGATTTGATGGATAGCGGATCCTGCAAAATAGTATATTAGGGAAGAAATGTGAAACGAGAAATATGAATAAATCAAAAAATCGCACAATCAAATTTAAAAAAAAACATATAAATAAAATATAATCTCAATTATCAAAGTGTATAATTTTATAAAATTCTTGTATTGAATAGAGACAAATTTTGAAGTACAAAAAATGGAATATCAAAATTGTTTAAGGAGAACTAAATTCAATAACAAACATTGAGTAGTCCATATGTAAAAAATAAGAAGAGAAACATAAAATGATAAGTTAAAGCAATTCAAAGTCCAAATATTAATGCGTATCGACAAAAAGACTGAATAATACATTGGCAAACACCTAAGTGTTTTGGAAATAAATTTGTTTAAACACCAAGACATTTAAAATAACAATGAAAGATGAAAAAATGCTTATAACTAAGCGAGACATATAAAACGTGAGGAAAAATGTAGATAAGTTTAGTTCATGCCAATATGAAAGTCTTATAGGAGAATGAAAAAAAAAAAGAATAACAAACCATGGCTGATTGAACATTCGTTGGACTCATACAAGGCTCTGATTGGAGATTCAGTGGTGATTGCCGAACCCAAAATCAAAAGGCAATGACGAAGTATGTAAAATAGATGTAGGTGGAAATGGGAGAAAGAAGACAGTTGAAATTGTCGAACTGAAACCCTAAGATGTTGTTTGGCAACAAGTGGGATTTAACTTTAGTGGGATTTAGTAAATCCTGTAAATCCGGATTTAGTAAATCGAAAATGTGTTAAATCCTGAAAAATGATTGGTATGTCAAATGTGAAATCTTGTTAAATCCTTAGAAACTGTTTGGTAACATATTTAAGGATTTGTGGAAGTTAGGGATTTAAATGTGAAGAATATAATTATAAATTTAAAAATAAATTTATAATTAAAAATGAAAATTACTGTGTTATAAATTTAATAACATATTAAGTACAAATTATTTATTAATTATTATTTACACTATTAATTAAATATTTCATAAGACATACATATTAAGTTATATTAACTAAGCTAATTCTATTAATAGTTAATTACTAATTGTACAATTAAGTTAAATTAGATAATAAATTTATGCACTAATTATACAATTAATTATTTAATTATTCTACTTATTTATTAATATTTTAAAATATATTAATTAAGTAAATCAATAATAACTTAAAGGCGTCAAGGTTTGCCTGTCATCTTCTCTTTTAGTCGTTGCTGTTAGGCTTCGATGCTTCGCAGGAGGTGTAGAGATGGCATGCGTCGCTTCTTCGTTTCCTGCCTGTCATCTTCTCTTTTAGTTGTTGCTGTTAGGCTTCGCTGCTTGGCAGGAGGTGTAGAGATTGCATGCGTCGATTCTTCGTTTCCTTCGTGACTGTTCAACTTCGTTCCTTCGAAGTCTTTCCCTTGCTGTCGGATCGGAAATTTTGACATTTTGATCGGAAGCAAGAAGGGGACCTCGCTGGCTGTGAAGGTAACTTTGTCCCTTTCGCGCTCTTCTTCTGCTAAATCCCGTTAAATCCGCCGAACAGAGGGATTTAGTAAATCAGAGATTTAAGCCGTAGATCCCTGAATCCGGGATTTACGGAATCCCGGGATTTAACGAGCACACAAAAACCGTTTGGCTGGATTTAGCGTAAATCGGACTTAAATTCGGGAGTAAATCCGATACCAAACAGCCCGTAAGAATTAAAAAATAGGTGAACTCGTCGGGCTTCGAACAAGTTTTGCATAGCTGCGTTCGATGAGAGGGAGAAGCGCGAGATACATCAGGATTCGGCGAGCGAAACCCGAACGAAAGCGAAGTAAGAGCAAAAAAAAATTCCACAAAAACTATTTTAAGAAGTTAAAAAGAGGCGTGAAGAAATAAAAAATAGGCATTAAGAAGTTTACCTTTTGAAAGCTGATGTTCGGTGAGTTCCGTGAGCAGGCAGGAAGCGACAATGGGGGAGAAGCGCGAGATACAGCAGCCTTCGGCGTCGAGAGAGGATATATGAAAGCGTCATTTCGTGTAGGGGTGTTTTTTTGATAAGAATGAAGAGTGTAGGGATGCGAAGAGGAGGGATGCCTTGAAAGAGAAAACGCAACGGATCTTGATTTGCATGCATCTTAGATAAAGCTTTAAGAAAATCAACGACGGATATAAAGATTAAAATTTTTAATGGCCAGGATGACGTATGGGGAGAAACACAAGCGGCACTTTAATAGTAGTATAGATATATATGATTTTAGTTCCGAGCCGCTCGATTTGACTATGAGTATGTCACGTTTGGAAACCGTTTGGTAATTCAAATTGTGGTTTGAACCTTCCAAATGTTCTTCGGGTCTTTGATTTGGACTCATTTGGGCTCGGATTGAGTCGAGTTTGGTGTCGTTGGGTTCGTATTTCCGAGACGTTTAGTTCGACTGTAAGTTTGCTGAAATTAGAGTTCAGATGACCCCAAATTTAATTTTTGAAGTTTCCAACTTGATTTTGCCTCGAGATTCGTGTCCGATCAAGATAATTTTTTATGACGTATCAGTCATAACTAATTTTTTTTTTTAATTTTTATCAAAATTGAAATAAAAATGTTACTATGAAAGATACATTTATTATTATTCAAGGAAAACTTAATATTCTATAAATTCTTTTAAAATCAAATAATTAATAAATATATATTTTCCACCTAACCCTTAAAAAAGCATTAAAAATTAAAATCACAAGGAAAAAAAAATTCCAAATTCGTGTCCGGCTATCTGGACCGCTGAACCAGAATAAGTTTCCGGTCCAGGTGAAGAAGGCACACAAATAACCGCAGCGTCGTTCCTTCTCCCTCATTCGCTCCGTGGAGAAACAGACTAATAAATAAATAAACCACCTGCGTCCTCCCATTTGGGTCCTTAGCTTCCCCCTTCTTAATATTTTCTCACTCACGATTGCGCTTCGTCTCCGTCAGAGGAGGGAATAAGGCAAGGATTTGTGATTGTCTTTAACGCATTTTGGCTTTGGTTCAAATCTGGATCTGCTTGCCCAAGTTGTTTGTATTGAATAGAGGGAGGAAGAGAAGGCAAATATCGAATAAGGTTTGTGTTATATTTTTCCGGTAAGTTTCTCTCGGAGTTCATATTTATTATGCTTATTGCTTCAATTTGTTTGGATGCTCCCGGATTTAATTTTTGAAGTCTCCAACTAGTTTTTTGCCTCGAGATTCGTGCCCGATCAAGCTAATTTTGATGACGTATCAATACTGATGTTTTTCTCCTTTTTTTGAGAATTTAGGTTCTTGTTGTGTGTTCATGCTTGGATTTGTGCCTATTATGGCTGGCTGTTATGTCAAGCACATTAATTTCTTATTTCAGTTACTGGATCTAGATGTTCCTGTGCATATTCCCCCAATTAGCTAGTTCGAAAATTTCAGCTTTGATTTTATTTATTGTGACGGGATGTTTTGTGAATTAATGACATTTATTTCTTGTAAGTTTTGAGTTTTTATGGTTTTGGGATTTTGGTGTTGGGATTTCTATCATGTTAGCAAAGATATCAACCCCGTTGAATTGAAATCTTTGCATTTTATGCATAATCTGTGTTTGAAAATTGTTAGTGTTTTTGCTTAATCGTGGTTTGGATGTGAACTATGCAGACGAGGAGCATAGAGAAGATGGAACCTCAGCTTAATGGAGAGGACCATGATGAATCACCACTAGGTGTGAGGAAGATGCACAGATTCGAGCATATTGGGTCAATGGCTTCTGTTTCGCAGTCATATGGCCCTATGAGAACTCGAAGTAGACTTTTGATGAGCATTTATGTTGTGATATTTAAAGCAAAAATCAACTTGCTTCTTCCTTTTGGACCTTTGGCAATGATTCTCCATTATCTTACCCAAATGCATGTAAGGTTGATTACCACTTTTTAATAGCTTTTAATAACATGCTAAACTTTTTCAATCCAACTCTCCTATTGGTAGATATAAATTAATTTTACAACTTAATTGCAATATTTGATTCCTTTGTCTCTAATCTTCTAGTTACTATTACTTTTTGACTAATGTGTCACATTGTATTATGTTGTGAGTCTGATAGTGATATTAAGGAGCCCATTTTTATTAGTAAGAATGTTTAATTAATTATAATTTTGTATATAATTTATTCTTGGAATTAGTGTCAGTAAGGATGATTAGTTTGTTGGAGTTAACTTTGTATTATATCAATCCCTACTTTAGCCCAGTACACTACCATCAATGTCCTTATCTCTCACCTCAAGAAACACTATCAACCTCCTTCAACCTAGTCAAAAATTTGCCATCATCCAAGAATCAATAGAGACCACATCGGGTTCTTCAAACTTTATCATATCTACTATTGTCACCCTTAAATTTTCAGCAATTATAAAATGTTTAACGCTTGTCAATTTACAACAAGCCAAATCTTAGTCAACGACATTTTTGACAACTTTTTAAGCCTTATCTTGCTCCATTGATTCATCCACATTGTAACCACATAAGATTTCACCATGTAGTTATACATGATCTTATCATCTAGCTCCATGAACAGCCAATTTGATTTGCCTCTCCAATCCTTATTCTTTCTTCCTTCAAATGCAACAATGGAATCAATAGTGATACCATCTGCATTTGATTGGGGATTATTGGGCAAGACTCAACAATTAGGATGATCAAATAGCGTTTATCCTTATTATCTTGAAAGGTATTACTTTGCTAATGACAAATCTGGAAAGCACATTGATCAACCTGTTTAACAGGGAGCATTTGTAACATCCATATTTTATACATCCATAGTTTCTCATTAAAAAAAGAAAAATAATAATTGAATAATTTCATTATCATTCAAAAACAAGGGAAAGATGAGATGGTGAAGACATTAAGTTCTTTTTTTTGCAAAGTTCTGTGTCAAGTCAAATATCATCTTCATCATATTAATGAAGCTAGCATTATTTTGAGCATCGAAGTGGTTGGCCAATCATTGATGTGATGTTGATTTATAGTATTTTCTTATGATGAAATGCATGTGCAAGCCTCAAGTCTCAATCAAAACATGCCAAGTTCTTCGAGTACTCATCAATCAAGATTATCTCTTGCGACTTTTGGCCTAGTCTTGAAAGAGTATGGCTGATTGAATGGTTGCTACCCATTGAATTTTTAGGTATCAATTTTTAGTTCAACCCATAGATGTCAATGGCGCAAAATAGCACGCGCCATGGCGCACGGTGCGGCGTGGCGCATCTACGGCGCCATGTGTATGATGCGGCGCAGACGTTCAAAATGACGTGTGCTATTTTCGCCACATGCGCCATGGCGCACGACACAAAATAGCGTGCGCCATTGTTTTAGATTTTTTTTAATGTAATTATAAATATTTTTTTATATTTATTTTTTAATTTTTTAGATAATATATTTTCTAATTTTTAAAGATATTAAAAGTGTTAAGATAAATGTTAGATTGCATATTTTTATCTTCTTAATGTTATTTGCTTTCATTTAAATATATTTGAGTTATATAAAGATTGACTACTTATTGGACTTGAAATTGTTAGAGACATGTTAAAGAATAATCTCATTGGAATTTATTGTATGAAGGCATATATTTGATGGAGAACATGAAAGTTGAAGTGACTTTTTTTAGTAATGGACTTGATATGATTGTGACTGAAGTGATATCTTGATTGGACGTGGTAATTTTCTTAGCATGTTAGTTAATTGGTAGATAGTTTTTAGAATGTAGAATGATATGTTAGGACAGACAAACATTCCACAAAATATAACAGCGTTATCTGTTTAAATAAATTGCTTGGGTGATTGCTTGAGTAAATTGCTTGGATTGTTATTTATAATTCTTGTATAATTTGCGTCATGTTCAAAATGGCGTGCGCCGCGCCGCGCGCTATGCGCAATGGCTCCAATGGGACCTTTGCGCCATGGTGCGCCATTCGCCGTTAACAAGTATGGTTCAACCTTAAGGTTAGGGTCGTTGTTGGTGAAATGTTAAAGAAACGATTCTTGTGAGTAAGTTTTTAATTAGTTAGTATTTGATTAGCATTTAATCCATTTATATAATTAGTTTTGTTGAGTATGTTTAGTTGAAGTTAGTTGGGGATAGCTTTGTATTTTATAAATACCCTCAATTTGGGAGAGTAATGACTTGAGCGTGAATCAAAAGTCCCTTCTTTTAATCGGTTCTTCTCTTCTCCCTCAAATTTCTTGAGTGATGAATAGCTTGAAATGCTCAGATTTGATTTAGGATTTTATCACATTATGAGGTGGGTTGAGGTTGATCTTGCAATGAATGGTAGTTAACTTTCATGATTTTTATGCTTGCCATGCAAAAATGGTACACACAAGAGTACGTGATTAGTTAAATAATAAAGCGATGAGAATCAAATATTATCTCATAAAGATTGGATTATCAATTAAATTAATGGAAGCTTTATTTGAAGGTTCAAAATGTGAATGAAAAATCTAAGGATTAGGTTTCACCAGGATATTCTCAATTGGTTAACTTGAAAGTTTGATTAATTGACAAAAATAAATTTATTGTAATGATATCTAATGTTGCTCTATGCCATTCTTTCGAAAATTTAGAGAGACAACATAACCTAGCTTTATCTGTAAAATAAATTTAATATTGTATATTTTGTTAAAAATAAAGATCCAAAAGATTTCAATATGGTATTCACTCTTAAGGTCAACGTTGGGGAAGATAATAGTTTCAAAAATCATTTTGTGCATGTCATTAAGTCTACATATGCAAAACTTATACTTGATTGTAATTTTATAAATGACATGACTATTTATTCATATACTTGAAAAGAGCCATCGTTTGTTGTGAGAAGGGCATTAACTATGTATGAGGATAAGCTCTCTCAGTTAAATCCCTTAAGGAATAAGTCATGGACTTGACATTTGAGCTCATCATACTCATTTGGTAGTGAGGCAAGTTGGGGAACATATATTTGGGGCCAAATCAATGGCATGTTGAGGTGTCCTTGATAAGGGTGTTTTTTTTTTTTTTTTGGAAGTTCTATAGGACAAGCATCTAGTAATCAGACAAAAGTCCATGCACCTTAGGTGGGAGGGACTCAATTGTGGGTTAACTTGAGGTGTTCAAGGGAATTGGAGCATTTGTAATACTTCCATTAATTTCAAGCATGAATTGAAGTTAATTGATGACATGAGAAGGTTCCTTCTCTATAGGGCAGAGGAATCTTGTGGTTGCTATGGGACAACCACTTAAGGGATTTGAAACAACATACTTGTCTTGATATTTAAAAGCATTCATGTTTAAATGCCCATAATGGATGGCATTCAAATCATATAGACATGGTCTTCCTAAGAGCACATGGGTAAAGTCTATGAGGAAAACATTATAGAATATTTCTATTAGTGTACTCTCTGAGTTAAATAGGTATTAGACAATACTAGAGACTAATATAGAGGTCTTATACACCCAAGCTGCCTTACATGGCTAAGGATGAGGCTTAGGGTATGGTTCATTCTAGCTAAGGTAGAAGTGGATATGACATTCATCCACCTATCATTGTCAATAATAAACTTGCAAGACTTGCCGCCTCTCCTAAAATCAGTATGAAAGATATTTTTGTGCTTCCAATCAGTTTTAGCTCGTGAAGTAGCAAATATACAACACAAACTAATCCTGTATCTTCTCAACACCACTAATCTCCTCATTGTGGTCCACCCCAACCTAATCAACCTTGTGATCATCAATATGATTCAAATATCTAGAGTCTATGTGGATACTCCAATGAGGGAAAGTATTCACATAGTGGCCTGCCTATCTTGCCACGTGTGATGCAAATAATGTTAGATCTCTTAGAATCAGATGTTCCAACCATTTAGGATCAATGGATTCCTTAGAAGTAGAGGTTGAAGCTTGGGAAGACTTTGGTTGAGAATTAGTTCCATATGAGCTAGAAAATTTATGCATGGTGTTTCAAATATTATTTGCTCAGACTTAAAAGCAAGATGGAAAGCATCCTCAAGAGTAAACTTCTTGAGTTAGCATTTTCTATCGAATATCAAATCAAAACCTCAATCAAAATATTATAATTATGGTTTGAGGGTCCTCAATGGCATTGTACTAAATCATAATCTCGGCAAAGTGTGTCATATTATCAACAATAGATTTAGATTCTTGTTGAATATTGGTTGATTAGTTTGGAAGTAGATCATGAAAAATTACAGGAAAATATTTTTTTTACTTTAGGGGCTTTTTCATATCATCCCAAGTGCCAATGGAGGGATGTCCTAACCTTAAATTTTATCTCGTAAAGGTTGACCCAATAAATTTTAGCATGACTAATTAGTTTTATGCAAGTGATTCTGACTTGATACTCATAAAATATGGCTACCTAGTTGAGGTATTGATCCATGTTAGTAAGCTAATTATGGAAGACTTATGAGTCAAGTTGATCATCAAAAGTAGGCGTATCAATTTTAACCTTTTGGTTTATGTCATCATTAAGGTAATTGATGCATATGTGATGTAGAACAAGAAGGCCATAATAGAATATGATTTTCATGGCAGAAATTTGATCTTTAAGATGACAAATTTTTTTAAGTTTTATTGTAGTGGAGTGATCATCACATAAAGAATTGATTATCAAAGTGCGAACATAGAAAAAGATCTAATGATAATTCATTCATGGAAAGAGTATAATCATTCGACACTTCATGGAAAATTTTCTACTTTGGAAATTGTTACATTGCCATCATCTTTATGGAAGAAGTTAATAATTATCATGATCGTCACCTAAATTTGAAAATAATTGAAGATTGATTTCATTATGAAAATAAATATTACTTCTTTTAGGGAAAGAATATGTCATTCACATCTTCAATTCAGGGTGAAGCAATCAAGGAAGAATTTGATCATCAAGGAAGCAATATTATGAAACCACACTCCTTTTATATGGTTTTAACCCTTTTTTTTATTTTTTTATTTTTAGAAGCATGGTGAGATATCCACCCCTCTTTCTCCACCTTCCACTAAAACTTCAATGCAAAGAAAGAAGTTTTCAATACTTTATAATCAAGTATCTCTTCAATTAAGCAATATGACATTTGATATCTAATCAAATCATGAACATTTTGAACCTTCCCTTTTCCTTTATGAAATTACATAAAAATGTGCATTGAATGCTTATAATGTTTGAGTTGTATTGGAATACCATGTTAGTTTGAATCCATATAAGATGTTACTTGTGTGCAACTAAAGGTGAAGCTTGATGACTTCGTCCTATTAAATTTCTTTGGCGAGTTCCTTAGAAATATTATTTGTATTTCTCTTTATATTATTTTTCTTCATTGAATAATAATATCCCTTCCTTTTCCATTTTTATGCTGTCATGATTAGGTCACCTACCATATATATTGATATACCATGAGATGGCACACCATATGTTGACTCATCATAAGGGTGAGGGAAACATTCACAAGATGGCTTTGAAATGTAACTATTATTTCTTTTTAAATATCTCCCTATACATCAAGGTGAATGAAATTGTGCCTCATCTATATTGGGTTAATCATAATATTCATCCACAATAATGGATGATGATGATGATGACGTCTAGCTAATGGAGGTGGCATGATAAGATTTGGAGATGGAATTGGAGTAGGAAGTGAGTTCCCATCACCATCCTCAAGAGATAACTCCTAGTCTAGGGTTGGGCTCTACAGCATGGTTCCTACTAGCTATATGTTTTAGGTCATCCAACCTAACTTGGACTTCACGAATGGTTAGTTGGTGTAAGGGTTGAAGGTCATCTAGTTATTCTTGTAAATGAAGGGATCCTCACGCCGATAAGTGTGGGCCACTATGACCTTCATTAAGGATTAAGTGAAAATTTGAAAATTTTATGCTAAATTTGTGATAATGCTTTAGTTTTTACGAATATAGTATCAATTTTTCAGGATTTGTAATAGTTACAATGCTTGAAATCTTGGTGCATGTACCTTTGGATAACGTACTAGTGAATAACACCATATGGTGCCTCCTCATAAGGTTGGGGGCAACATTCACAAGGTTTTCATGGAACATAATCATCGTTTCTTTTAAAAGGTCTCATCCATCTTAGGATAGTCATAATATTCATCCATCTAGAATGGATGATGATGATGATGATGATGAAGTCTAATCTGGGGAGGTGGTGGTATAGGATTTGGAGGTGGAATTGGATTAGGAGGTGGATTGGAATTAGTAAGTGGTTCATCCTCAAAAGCATCCTCTTGAGCTAGGTTGGGATTGAGTGTAGGGTTCCTACTAGCTCTATTTTCAAGAGAGTCCACCTTGGACTTTATGATAGGTGTGTTGGTGGAAAAGGTGAAGGTCCCTTGATTATTCTTGTAAAAGAAGAAAGGGATCCTCATATACTTTGTTTAGAATGTTGTTGATAGCCACTGTGGGTCTTCATTAAGGATGAGTGAAAATTAAAAATTTTCAGTGCAAAGTTGACATCAATTTTCCAGGAATTTGTAGAAGTGTTCTAAGTAGAGAAAGTTGAGCGAATAAAAAATGGATTGCTAAACTTAAGATTTGATCATAAAATGATTCAGATATGGTCAGATTACTTATATAGTAAAAGATGCTGAAAATATGTAGAAGCTGAAAAATGTATGTAATTTTTCTTTGGAACCAAATGAGGTTGGATTAACTTGAAAATATTTGACATGGCTTCTCTAAATGTCTCACCTATAAAGTTTCAAGAAAAATTATGTTGTTTAATATTTTTAATAATTCTAGTGTCACCTAAAAATTTAATGAAGAAATTCACCACAGAAGTTTTCCTCTAAAGAATAACTTGTTCTGATATCAAGTATGATGCATAATAAATTAAAATCTACATGCTCTGTAGAAGTATGGTAGAATACACCCTTAATTCATTGGATCCTTGCAGTTAATCTTTAGAGAGCATGAAACCTCTATTAAGTTACAAGTATGAAAATAAGAATGTAACAAGCAAAATAATATTCCAATTCTAGTTAGGTTAGCCAAACAAGATACTTAACCCTAAGAGCATGGAAATACAGCAAGCTGAAGGAAGATATAGTTTGTGATGAACTTAATCAACTAAAACTGGTGTGAAATGGGGGTAAATGAAATTAAAGTCCATGAATAACCTTTCGTCATGTTGATCTTCTTTCTTCCTTGGAAATACTCTAAAGGATGTGAACATACACAAATAAAAGTAATTCTCTTGTGGTGAAAAGCATATAGAGAAACGAATACTCAAAGAAACAATTTAATTCAACTAGTATCAAACTTCATCTCTTGATATGATAACAATGCATGATATATGTAGACTATATAATCAAGTGAACCAAATGAGACGAAGGAGGGAGAGGTCTTTAGCTAATCATAGGGAATTGGAGAAATGAATGTTTGTGAGTCATCCATATTTTCTAAGAGCTTCAAAAGAACTCAAAGGACAAGCGCCAACTCTTATTTCAAATCCAAAGCCTTTTTCACTTAAATTAAATGCAACGGAGAGGGGCAAAGGAGAGGGACCAACCAAGCCATTTAGAATGGTGAGGTGGCCAGTCAAAAGTGATATGGCAAGTCAAAAGGTTATGTGGTGTTTAAGATGTATAGTTGTGGTCAAAAGGGGTCTAAATGGGTAGGCTAAGGCAAATAAATTGTTGGGCTTGCTCAATGCTCAAGTTAATACAACCAAACATACATATACACATGACTCAATAGATCACATGACTGCAACATAAGGCCCAAAAACATAAAAGAAGCCTCACAACACAATGCCTATAATATATCACAAAACAATGACCTGACAATATAAAGGTCCAACAAAATGAAAATATATAAGTAAAAATATGATTAAAAAGTCATAGGTATAAATGATCTAAATTTTGTGATTACGACAACAATTGAGATGGCTTGCATTAGGCTTAAATAAGGTCATTAGAAATGAAAATCTAGATGAATCTGACACAACTTTTTGGATCTAAGTCCATTATAATGGCAGCTAGGTTAACCTTATCTTCTTGGAATTAATATAAATTAGGTTGGTTCTAAATTCGACAATGCCAATGACCAAAATTAAATTGATTTAAGATTCCTATATAAAGATATTTGAATGAATATTTATTTTCGCATGCATGTATGTTTAGAGAATAATTTTAGTTTTTCTTTTTAATCCAAGGCTATGTTCCTAAATAATAGTTTTATTCACCTCATTATTGTGCTAAAACTTTAATTTATTAAATGATTTTTTCTGCATAATAGGCTAAAATACTTTGGCTAATAAACAGGCTTTAGATCTAATTAAAACTGTTGAAAAGCTTGTAAATTGCTTTAAATTTGACTCATTTAATTTCAAATCAATTTTGAGCTCCACCCCAAACTCAAAATCGATTTGAAGTTTGTTCAAACTCGTTCGGTATAGTGTGAGTCGACTCAAAATATACTCAAAATTAATTATTATGTAAAATGTACATTTTTGCATGAACTTGATTAAAAATCAATTTTAAGTCAACATGAAATTGAATCATTTCATCTGATCGGCTCAACTCAAAATGATTGGATTGTGAGGCGAATTATATTCAATCATTTAGTTTCAATTTCTAGTCAAGTTCAAATGAGGACTCCCTCAAACTCGATTCAATGTTATCATAAATCCAATATTTGCATCCACATTACTAGATATGCGGATACTTGGAAACCAATACATCTCTAATCTGGATCCTTTGATAAAAAAAACTTCTGAACCATGTAAATTTGGGCTGGTTCTTTGATTTTGCTGGAGCCAATCTAAACCGATTAGGTTTGTCTCCCTAACGTATAATCATTTTCTCTCAATCAGTTTATTGGAATAATTAGCAACTTTTGAGACCAATAACCTAACAAACCAGTCTTGTGTATATGTGTTTGTTTTTCTTACAATGTAAAGGTTTAATTATCTCTATTTTCATATGCTTTTTGAGTTATTTTAATGTACATATTTGTACTGCTACCTCCACGAATTGTTTGCATTCTTGAAAGCCAACAACTATATTTGTATCTTTTAAGTTGAAACTTGAACCTGACATTTATAACATTAAGTGTTCCCTTTTCAGGGATGGGTTTTCTTTTTTAGCCTTTTGGGCATAGCACCTTTAGCTGAACGTTTGGGTTATGCAACTGAGTAAGTATGACCTGGAATCATAGTTGAGTTCTGTTGACACTTCCTTTATGCTAATTTTATGCGCTGATAAACTTATTTTTTTAATGATCAGACAGCTTGCATTCTACACTGGCCCAACAGGTATTCTCTACTTTCTGAATAATCTTTGTTAGATTATTCATATTGCATGCAGATATATTGATTTATTTTTCTGAAATCATTTTCGTGCCTACAGTTGGAGGTCTTTTAAATGCTACTTTTGGGAATGCGACAGAAATGATCATATCAATTTATGCTTTAAAAAATGGAATGATCCGCGTTGTTCAGCAATCTTTACTTGGATCTATATTATCTAATATGCTCTTAGTTCTTGGATGTGCTTTCTTTTGTGGTGGGATTGTGCATTCTGAGAAAGATCAGATTTTCAATAAGGCATGTATGTTTATTTATAACTCAAATTTCTATTTTTAAGAGCATAGGAGTTTTCTTTGCTAAAATAGTATAATTCAATCATAACAGGCAGCTGCTGTGGTAAACTCAGGATTACTCCTGATGGCTGTAATGGGTCTGACATTCCCAGCAGTTCTTCACTTTACACACTCAGAGGTGCAATATGGAAAGTCTGAAGTTTCCCTTTCAAGATTCAGCAGTTGCATCATGCTTGTGGCGTACGCTGGCTATCTATTTTTTCAACTCAAGACTCGGCACAACATCTATAGTCCAATTGAAGAGGTCAGTCATCTGATACTGCTCTCATCATGAAGACCTTCATATGTGGTATGCAATTCTTTTATTTTTTTGCTTATTTTACTTGTCTAGTTTCATATGAAACTTTGAATAATAACACTTATTAGAAGAGTGGGATTCAATAGCAATTTACAATATATTTCTCTGTAAATTAACATTCATTTAGTGGTTGCGTAAGGTATACCTTAGCAGTGTCATATAGTTCAATAAGACGCTAAATTAAATCATAAGCTTGAGGTGATTAAATTGTGCGGTTTACTATTTTAGGTAGCAGGATTGAAAACATGTATTCAATCACATCATTTCATTATCATGAGAAGCAGCAGCAGCAGCATTGTTTCAACTATTTTCCATTCATTGTATGAATCATTTTGATTGAATTCTCAACAGCATATGACAATAAAAAAAGAAGTGTAGTTGATATAATTAGTGTGCATAATTTTGAGCTTCTCTTATCAGTATTTTGAATTATTTTCTCTCATTAATTTCTAAAATATTCTTGTTTTTTTTTAATCTTTGATCCCACTATTTTGGTAAGCAATGAAAAAGAAATGTTTATCATATTTCAAACGAGAAGCTTTTTTAAAAAAAACATTGTAAAATTAGATGCATTGCAGTTAATGTATTTCTAACTAATCGCTTCTCTGATGTTTTATTAGGAGTATAATGGATCTGCTATGTTATGACGGTAATCTTTGTTAACCTTTATAGTCAGTTTTTAAATTTAGATTAATATTTTTCTTTGTTGCTTGAAATTTAATTTAGGTTCATAAGTTGGATGAAATGAACTGAGTGTAGGAAAATTAAAATGCTAAGGTAATTGTTCAATGAAAGTCAAGTGTAAAAGTAGGTGCAGAGAAATTTGCCTAAAAGTTTTAAAAATATGTTTAGCTAGTACACTGCCCATTGGCGGATTTGGGGGGGGCCATCTCTCTCTCTGTTTCTCTCTCTCTCTTCCCACCATGAGGATGAGATGATTTTAATTTTTTTTTTTATTTTCCATTATATCTCTTATGAGGTGGGCTTTTTTTTTTGTTTAATTTTATTAGACCATCTTAAATTTTTGCTTTTCTATGTCATCGATTTAGGGAAGATTATCTTAAACCTTTTTTTTTTTTATTTATAATTCTATCTTTATTTATATATTTTTCCCATTTTAATCATTTATCTTCAAATTACTAATTTTTTCAAAATTAAAAATTTCATCAATTTTTTAAAATTATTTTAAAATCTCCAAATTTTCTTTTATAGGAAATTTTATAATTAAAGCCAACAAATTATACTAGAGAAAAATTACAATATTTAAATTTAAATCAAATAGCTTAAAATATGCTAATTGTAATTTTTAATATATTTTTATATTAAAAAGATGCAGCTTTTTTTATATATTTATTGCTTGTTATGAAAATTTTTTAATTATTATTTTTTATTTAAATTAAATATGAAAACCTTATGTTAGATATTTAAAAAAAACTCTAATGTTAATTTCAAGCTCGAATGAAAAAGCTTAACGATGTTTTTTAAATTAGAAAATTGTGCCCCCTCAAATAAATAATCCTGGCTCCGCCACTGACACTACCTAGTGCTCTTAGTGGCTATGATGGAGAAAGAAGGATTGAAACTCAAGCCAACATTTTATTTGGACATTGTCGTTTATGATGATTGCAAATTAACCTTTCTTACATGCTTAACTTTCTCTAAGTATTTTTACGAAATCAGAAAGGACTGCTTTCTATCATTTCTACCTTTCTTGCATATAAGTGCTACTCCTTATGCTGATGTTTAGTTTGGTATTCATGTGATCCTTATCCTTTGATCATTTGCTTTCATTGTAGGAAGAAAGGCAGATTGTTGATATTCAAGATGAGGAGGATGTGCCTGAGATAACTCTTTGGGAATCAATATCATGGCTTGCTGTTTTGACTGCCTGGGTTTCTATACTCTCCGGCTACCTTGTTGATGCTATTCAGGTGGAAATGCTTCGGCAAATATTTAGTTTTTGTTTTTCCATTTTTTTTATTAGTTTCAGAGATTTTTATTTGTTTAATATTTGAACTTTGACTAGAATGTAAAGAAAGAAGATAAACCATCTGCAGAAGTTCATTCATTGGAATGTCAGACATGATCAGCTTTGAAAATCTTAATAAGGAATAAATTTTATACAGTCAGGGAAATGAAAGTTTAAATCTTATTAGTTACTCCAGGTTGCATAGTATAGGTTACTCCAGTTTTGATCAACTATTTACTATTAAGATAGGAAGCGCCATCTTATTAGTTACTCCAGGTTGCATGGTATAGGTTAGCAGAAACTCAGACAGCTCTTTTTAACCTTTGCTAACTTGATCGCGACAAAAGGCTGATGGTTGTATTTCAATAATTGAACAATGTCAGAGTCTATTAAAACACAGCGTTTTTTTCTGTTGCTTGCTTTCCTTGCTTTGATGAACTATTTACTATTAAGAGTCGATGTTCTGCTATCTTAAATCAGAAATTTACTACAGTTATTAAGTTATTCAAAAGATCTTTCCTTTGAGTTTGGAATCTCTAGAATGTTGTTGATGCAAATTTTGAAGTCTTTATCCATTGAAAACTCAATATGGATTTATGTGACTGTCACGTTGATGGGATGATGGTTACCAACAATGGTGGTGGCTGCTGTGGCAACCGATATTGGCAGTGGCACGACGATGGTGACTAGTGGCAGTGGCGATAGCGATGCTGGTTGTGATTTTCAACAGCCACTGGTGTCAATGATTGTAATGGTGGCTGTTTATTGGTGGTTGGATGAGATGATTTTCATTTTAATAATAATGAAAACATCGAAAAACCTCTATAACATTATTGAGTTTTTTTAAAAATATTTTGATTTATTTAAAAAATTAAAATAGTTAAAAAACAGAACAAACATGTTTTTAGAAAAAATAAAATATAAAAAACATAAATTGATTCCAAAAAGGTCCTTAGTTTCTATTTTTCTAGCTTTTTCTTAATGTAGCATGCCCATCATTTTGATGACTGTGGGAACGTTAAGTTTTATCTAATATTTTGATTGCCTTGGTAAGTTTGGTTTATTGCTGCCAGTTGTTTCGATTCAGCTATCACAGATTCCGATGTGCTGTTAGCTTCTAAGTCTATTTGTCAATATCTTGGTTCCTTTGTTCTGCTCCCAGGAGTGCGGATGCATGTGTTTGTTGTTTTGCTACAGTGATTTGTCGAGGTTGTTTGTTCATGTGAATATTGTTCCGTCTTGGTAGTTGATGGCAGCGCTTTTCGATTCCCTTTTTGGCTTGGTGCTTCGTGACTGTATATGTTTTGTCTGCCTCTAGCTTTCCTTACGGGAGCTAGTTCCTTCAACTACCCAATCTTCCTGTTTCATCATTGCTGGCTTAGTCCAAATTTCCTAATGGGCTACTAGTGTTTTCTACTAGGGTTTTGTTAGCTATGTGGGACATAATTTTGTTTTGGCTATTGGGGCACCTGTTATCTATTAAAATCAACTTTTTTTGAATTCAACCTTGCAATTTTTTATCATGCCTTGAGGATATATATATATATTGGTTGTGTTTGTTCCATATTGATTTCCTTTTTATGGTATGAATTTTAATTATTTTATAATTTTGTATTTGTTCACTAATTTAGGTAACACAGAAGTCACCAAATTTTGTAGTGGTATTAGAAATGATCTTTCTTTATTAGATTTAAATGAGAATTTGATTTTTAACAATACATAATGACGAAAAAGATTCATGTAGCCAACCCCATATAGTGGGACAAAGGCTTGATGTTGTTGTTGTTGTTGTGTTGTATTTGTTCATTGATTTCTTGTGTGATATTAGATTTGGTGACTTCTGTGTTATTGTTTGACTAAATTAAATGTGTTACCTAGTTTTGAATCCGAGTAATCCTTAACTAAAATAAGAGTTGGTAAACTGCAAATTCTGGTCATTTGTGGTTTTTGTGTGTGTGCATCTTTACTTAGATTTATATTAGTGAAACGTATAATTTAAGACATCCTACATAGCTTTTCTTATAAAGTCATACCAGAATGTTTTTTTATTGCTGAAATGGACCGCCCCTTTCTATGACAAATGGCGTGCAGATAATTCTTCACCAAGTGAGATCTAAGAACTCAATATCTTTCCCAACCATATCAATGTACCAATTCCAAGATCTGGTTCGAGTTATATTGTTTTGCTATCCATTTTACAGTAATAACTTTTTCAGTTGTTATTACACTATGAATTACGCCATTTCACAAAGAAGAAAAGCAATCAGCCGCCCTATACAAATTTGAACAAATATAACACATTGCTTTATGTAATAATTAAATAAGATGTCTATTCAAAATATTTCAACAAATTAATGCTTAAAATTCAATGGTAAATTATTTATTAAATCCATAGTTATGTAGATTGAATTGAAACTAATATACTACTAACATACACTAAAGATAAAATGTCTCTTATAATGTATTTTCCCTATAGTTTTATTTCTGCCGTGTTCCATTATAATCTAGTGTGCTGCTTGCGATGTTACTTCGTCCTTAATTTCATTGAGGTTTTTTTCAGCATGATCAATCCTTAGTAGCTCGCCAAGTTATCTTAATTAGCTTGGTTTTGGAGATATCCATTATATTGTTACACACATTCGATCTAGCTTTTCTATATATATTAGTTTTATGTTCATATGTTGAAACTTGTTCCTCCACCCACATCCTTATTGATAAACTTCTCCATTAAAACTTTTTAATATGAACAAGAACCATTTTAGTGGCCATATACCGTAAGAATTCCATAGGGAGAAACTTTCAACCACAAAATCCTTAAATGCATTTAGCGGTTATTTGGTTTGAATTAAAATGAATATAAAATATTCCAAATACAAGAGTTTTAAGAATATTGGTGTTTGATTTGAAGCAAAACAAATGCAATGTAAAATTTTGGCATATCTGGAATGCTCCATATAGTGTAAATCTAGTATATTTCGAACTCGTCCGATTTAGAAATTAGTAAATTAGTGAAAACAACTCTCTTTGTTTCTTCCTCTTAATTTCTCCTCATGCTATATCCTTCACACATTTCCCTCTTGGTTATTGGTTCAAGAGGTGGCATATTTTCCCTATCGCCCAACATTTTTACCTCTCGATCATCCCTCATTGTGCCGATATTGGGATTTCCCCCACTTCCTTAGCCACCCGCCGGTCCCCTCGCCTATGATATTGCCGATTGGGTATGAAGCTCTAATATTTTATTCATCATGTCCTCTAGGTTAGAAAACCTTCCTTCCATGGATGAAATCATTTCCTCAATTTTAGATTTGAATTGACCAACTTCTTCTTTTAGTTTCTTTTTCAAAGCATCCACTTTCTTCGGCGCTATAGGTCCAGAATCAGCTATGATACCAATTTGATAGGACTTGATGATCAAAACAGCACACAACAACATAAAAAGCAGCAACTTACTCCAAATAGATCCAGAAATAACATAAAGATAGCTGTTTTTACTAATTTTCAAGCAAAACAAGACAAGATATAAGTTGATTTATTGTTCGAGAGGTGAATCGTCTCTCTCACAATTCCTAGCAGCTAATAGGAACCCAAACATCTCACAAAAATTGCTGCAGAAATTCCAAATCATAACATTAAAAAAACCTAACCCACCATACCCCCCCCCACCCCACAAACAGCTCAAATCCCCTAATAAATGCCCATTACATCTAATAAATACTCCTTACATCTTTCCCAAAGAGTTTCCTCCTACAATCTCTTCTCCTATAGGTAATAAAGGAGGTATTGGGCCCCACATGGGCAGCTGGATTGTTGTTGCCAGCTACATCAGATAGTTGGATGGTTGAATTGGAGGAATGCATCTGCCCTATTGTGTGATAGAAAAGTACCCCTCATATTTAAGGAAATTTTTTATAAGATGGTGGTGAGACCTGCATTGCTTTATGTAGCATAATATTTACTATTAAAATGGAAGCATAAAATTAAGTTAAGTGTTGTAGAGATGATGATGCTCAGATAGACAAGTGGCTTTACTTTTAATGATAGAATACAAAACGAGTACATACATGAAAAGGTTGGAGTAGCTCCAGTAACAAATAAGATTAGAGAGAGTTGTCTTAGATGTTTTGGTCACATAAATTGTGAACCTTCCGATGACAAAGTTAGGAAAATAGATGTATTAGATTTGACATATGTTAAGAAAGGTAGAGGTATGCCTAAAAAAATTTGGTTAGAAAGTATTAGAAATAATCTTTTTTTGTTAGATTTAAATGAGATTTTAACTCTGAATAGAACACAATGGAGAAAAAGAATTCATGTAGCTGACCCCACATAGTAGGATAAAGGCTTAATGATGATGATGATGTTGTTGTTAGCATTGATATTTTTTTAGATGTTTTTGACATCTTTTATGCAATATTAATATTGATAAAATATGTGACAACTAAAAAGGATTAATGAATACTATTGTTACATTGTCGTTAATAAATGGAAATTATCATATGCCATATATCATTTCCTTAATTATTAATAGTACTTTTTCTTATCATTATTAAGTTTATTTTGTGAAGTATATGCCTACAATATTATTCTTAGCCTATTGATGCCTTTACTTTGGTTGAAAATACTATAATTTAGATATGTAATATTTATAATTATATGATATAACATTATTGTATATTTTATGATCTCAGCCGTCCCTTGGCCCTTGATTCCATGGCCAGCATGGGGATCCATGAGAGGCTCACCTAGATCACGCTGTTAAATTTCAGCTATCCCTTTGCCCTTGATCCCACGTCTAGCATGGGGATCCATGGGAGGCTCACCTGGATCACGCTGATCTCCTTCTATATTTGGGTGGCTAATTCAGGAAGGATTATATTAAGGCAATTATGCATGATTTTATAGTTATTTGTTTCTTTATTAAGACATCTTGCATAGATCTATAAACATAGATAGTTTTGTATAATAAAAAAAAGTCTTTCCCTATCCAGTTCTTTGAATTTAACATAGTATCAGAGCAAGGCATTAAGTTATTCTTCAAAAACGATAGCGTTAGAGGGGAGAGTTGGTTCTTGCATTATGTTCTTTCTTGTGTATCTTGGGCAGACGAGTAAGTGAGAGGGCTTCCCCTTTGCGGACTTGTGCGTGCGGCTCTCTTGCGTGCCTACCTGAGGCCGAACTGAGTGAAGAAGAGGATCAAGAGAGGGATCGAGCAGGAACTGCATGCGTGCGTGCTTGAGCGGGGACACCCCAGCCCTTGTGCATATGCTGGAGCCGAACCGGGAAAGGAACAAGCTATTGAAGAACTGTTATACACGCCATCAAATCCTCCACTCGAAAACCCTTCCTTTCCCCAATTCTCAAACACTTATGCATGTTGTCGATCCATTATCCTCAGATTTAGGATGTGTACAAGAAGGTTGAAGCCTCCTGGATAGTAGAAGAAGGTGACCTCTCCTAAGATCTCTGCCACTGGGATCAATCCCTCAAATCAGACGAATGCCACTTCGTAACTCACATTCTTGATTCTTTGCTATTACTGACATAATAGTTATTGAGAACCTTGGCAGTCGGATTTGGATTGAAGTTTGTTTGTTGGATTCTATGCTCACCAATGGAACGATCTTGATACGTGGAGTTGCTCGGACGATGTGCGCGGTGAGGAAAAAGATGACTGTCTTGGTGGTGAGACAGTTCACTACTACGGTCCAGTGCATGCTTATGGTGACCAAAGAATTGATAAGCACGTAATGGTGAAGTATGCTACATCCCTAAGTAGGGAGTCGATCATGGATATCGAGGTTAAGGCTATAGAGAGATTATAAGCACTTTATCCTACCCTGAAGGAGTTGGAGCTTGCTGGTTCTCCAGGTTCCCACCCCTAGCCTTCATTGTTAGAATTCTGAGGAATACAAGTTTCCACAACTCGCTTTCATTGCCAAAATTCTAAGTAATATAGGTTCCCATCACTAGCCTTCATTGTTGGAATTCTAAAGAATACAATTTTCCACCATCGACATTCATTGCCAAAATTTTGAGGAATACAGGTTCCCACCACCAGCTTTCATTACTGAATTATGAGGATTACAGGTTCCCACCACTTGCATTTATTGTCGGAATTCTAAGAAATATTGTTCCTACCTACTTCATGCGTCCAAACCAAGAGATCAAGCAGGAGGGATCCTCTCACTTCTATTTAGTCCACTCTGGACATTGCATGTGGCAAGAGCTAAGAGTTCCCTCTTGTAAGGGTGTAGGGCCTGGACAAGCAAGATTGCAAGACTTGCACTCCTTCCTGCGATCAGACCAGAGGGATTAGAGGCCTCGCGTGCGCCTATATGGAGGTTGGTCGAACGGGAGTGTTCAAGTGGAGTCGGACAACTGATTTGCATTGGGCTGAAGGATGGATCGATCGGATGGGAGGAGATTTGCGTGCTAAGTGCTAAGCCGTTTGAGATGTGTTTTTCTGCTGCTGTCCTTGAAGCTTGCCGCATTGCTAAAAACAATTTTTTCCTACTACTGTGCCTTCATTGTCGGCCTTCGCTTGTGATTGCTATCTTATCAATAACCAATGTAGCCTTCATTCATACCCTTTACCACTGCAATGTCTAAAGCTAATTTCTCCCAAAGTTTTGACCAAATGGAGGACTCTATAGTACACCAAGGGATTTGATAACTCTACTTTTCTGGAACTAATTACCAAGCTTGGAATGACAGATCTATATTCCTCAGCTTGAGTGAAAGTGTTATGATCTCAGTCATCCCTTGGTCCTTGATCCGACGGCCAGCATGGGGATCTATAGGAGGCTCACCTATATCACGCTGTTAAATCTCAGCCATCTCTTGGCCCTTGATCCCACAGCTAGCATGGGGATCCATGGGAGGCTCACATAGATCACCCTTATCTCCTTTTATATTTGGTTGGCTGATTTAGAAAGGATTATATTAAGGAAATTATGTATGATTCTATAGTTATTTGTTTCTTTATTAAGGCATCTTGTATAGATCTATAAATATGGATAGTTTTGTATAATTAAAAAAAACTCTTACCCTCCCCAATTCTCTGAATTTAATAGTGTCCATAACATCTCCTGTTCTATTTTTTTACAGTTATGTTGTGTTGTCGTGTTTTTCTCATATTGTGTCCGTGTATAGGTTTCTTGGTGTGTCACTAGCCCCTTTAATTAATTATTGGATAATTTACATTCTTGAATTCATACCCCCTTAACGGGTCACTCCACAATTTCTTAGCCTTGATTTTTTTTTTCTTTTTTTTGTGTCTACTCACAGTTATTGCACACGTTTTTTTTTTTTTTTTGCCCCCGTTTTTTTTTTTTTTTTTTAAGTATCGCATACTGGTTACTCAAATTATATGCACAGTAAATGCTTAAAATAGAGCCCCTCGACTTCCTAGTTTGTGTACACGTGTTTGTGCTTAATTGAATTTATCAATCTTTGTTTTTAAGGTCTAATTGTTTCCTCATTTTCTCTAACAGGGCGCTTCTGAGGCTATGAACATGCCTGTGGCTTTTATCAGCGTCATTTTGCTTCCTATTGTTGGGAATGCTGCTGAACATGCAAGTGCCATTATGTTTGCCATGAAGGATAAGCTTGTTAGTGCTCGAGTGGATTATGTTAGCAAGTAAATGCTCTTTTGCTTTTTCATGACAACTTCAATTTTTTACAGGATATTTCATTAGGTGTTGCCATTGGATCGTCTACACAGATATCAATGTTTTTGGTAATACTTTGAAAATGCTATTATTTCCATTTTCTTAAATGGATCTGCATTCTTCCATTACTTTTTAATGTTTCGTCTGTAGGGGGGTCGTGTGTGGCTATTTTGAGGGGTTGGTTGTGCTCTGATTTTTTTTTCTTTTTGTTCTTCTTTATTTGCAAGTATATTTCATTATCATGTAATTATTTTTTTTACTCTACATAATTTTGTTATTTAGTGGTTAACCTGTTTCATAGGCTTACACTTATCACTAGTTTATCAGATTTTAGCCGTTGATTGGTTGAGTCCATTGATTTAAATTGGCTAGATTCAAGAGATATCTCCTTAAGGCTTCGTTTGGGACGGCTTTCTTACTACTTCTTAAAGAAGCTTTCTAGTCCAAAATTTTAATTTTTGTACTAAAAAGCTACTTTAAGAAGCAGTAAGAAAGCCGTCCCAGACCAAGCCTGAATGTGGAAAGTCTACATCATACTTCTCAGCTCCTTTTTTGTCCTCTTTTATTGCTAATTACTATGTGCCAGTTCTCGTTTTAAATCTCTATTTTAATGAAAGAAGAAAGAAGAAAGAAGAAAGAAAGATGGCTGTTTTCATACTTTTTATTGCTACTAATACTGTAGATGTGACTCGAGAACAGTGAAATGCTTTTTCTAGTCGAAACCACTACTTAAAAAAAAATGAAAAATACTAATGGCTTTTTTGTGACTGAGAACCGTAGATTCCATTCTGTGTGGTTATTGGTTGGATGATGGGACAAAGGATGGACTTGAATTTTCAGTTATTTGAGACGGCTACTCTCTTCATCACAGTTCTAGTTGTTGCTTTTATGCTTCAGGTATGCATGCTTAAGTAGATAAAAGTTGTTAACCTGCATCGCTTTATATTTTGTATGACCTATGTTTTGTATATTATTTTTAACAATAGCAATGTATTTTTCCCCAACAAGCTGAAATACTTAACCTACATTGTCAAGGCTTTTTGTCCTAAAGGATAAAAGTGCATGCCCTTGTTTCACTTGTATTTTTTATGGACTAATTATGTGAGATTAGAATCTGTTTTAGGTTTTGTTTGAGACAGCTTTCTTGTTGCTTTCTAAAACAACTTTTTAGTACAAAAAATTTGAATTAAAATGACTAAAAAACTATTTTAGAAAGCAAGAAAACTGCCCCAAACGAAGCCATCGTAAATAGAGTAGAAACGTTATGCCTAATGGTTCTCTCTGCAGAGCATAGAATTATCTTAAACGGAGGATATTACATTTTTGACCAAGTTATGAAGATCTAAAATTACGCATCTTTTTTTTTTTTTTCAGGAGGGCACTGCAAACTACTTCAAGGGACTAATGCTTATCCTCTGTTATCTCATTGTTGCTGCCAGTTTCTTTGTACATATTGATCCTGCTATCAGTAAGTCATGAAAATAATGTATTGAGGCATAATTTTTAAGTTCAATATTTGAGAAATCTGGAATAATTGCACTGGTCGAATTCCAAAAAAGCTTTGTTGCATGCATTTATACGTTAGGATAGCAACACTTAAAAAGCATATTTTCTCTATGCTGCTGCAATTACTGCCCTGATTTTAGTGCTGGGGCTTGGTAACATTGTTTTCAACTAGGTGCAAGTTAAATCACGTGTTAGACTAACGGAGGGTAGATACAGTTGTTCACAAAGTGTAGTGTGACATAGGAAACCACATTATCATCATTAGCATAATTTGCAGCTATTTGGGTTCGACAAATGCTAGCAAATGATGTGCAAGAAAATAAATTAAAGGAATGATGAAAGTCTCGTTTGTTTGGGCTTAATTACGCCGTTTCCGGATCTAAACGGCGAAAACAGTTACCGCTATACTGTTTGTTACACTACTTATGTAAAATAAGTTTTCTTACAACATTTTTCAACTGTTTTGAAAAGCTTTTTGATATTTTCTTCTCCGGTAGAACCTCCATTTCCTCAACCAATATTTTTAAAACTACCTTTTATGAAAGGTATTTGACAACCAAACGAAGCCTAAATCTGTTTTCTTCCGCCATTGAAGCTTTTGGTATTTTTAAAACCTCATGGAGCAAACAAAAATTATGCATAAAGAATTATACTCAGTGCATGAAGCTCCCACAACATAGTGTCGCCAAAATATTATGAATGACTGGGATTGCACAAGATCATTCTAGTTTGCAGAGGGTGACCCTGCCCTTTGAGCTTAAAATTTCTTATTAGGTTCAAAAAATTATGCGTAGTGCAGACAGTGTAGTTTCTTGTTTGCAACATTAATATTCTCTTTCATTAAAGATTTTGCCTCTTTAAAACATCTTTCTATGTTTTCTTTTCCCACATATTGTTCAAAAAATTTGTTGTGCATGGCTTAACATTTGCTCTTTTCCCCAGATGATTAGAAACCAATGTACCAACAAAAGCTGATCTCTCAGCGCCAATGCCACTATTCATTGCTGTGGGATAATCAGTATATTTCTGTGGAAAATAGCCATTAATGCCATCCTTGGATAGTTCTTCAATGTTTTTGGGATCCTTAAGCCTACTCGTCACATTCCTTCATTTCAACTATACTTTCCTCTCTTCAGCTATGGGCTTTTGCAAATGTTCATCTGATATATATTAGGAAGTTTCATTTTTTGTATTACTGCCAGCGAAGCTGTGTACATTGAACAATATAGTGATTACTAAGGTGACTAAGTGAGGATCACATGATGTATTCTACAGATAACTTGAGAGTATGAACCCAACATTTTTTTCTCTGTTGAAAAGAATTATTTGCATAGAGTTGGATTATAATTCTCCAATTTGTTTGATGATCTCATATCTATAATTATGGATTATGGCAATCCAATCTATTTTAGGTGATTAAGGCTTCGTTTGGGATCGCTTTTTTACGGCTTCTTAAAGTAGTTTTTTAATAAAAAAATTAAAATGTGTGCGCTAAAAAACTGCTTTAAGAAACAATGAGAAAGTTGTTCTAAATGAAGCCTAAGATTTTATGTAATTATTTCATAATTTATTTTATAAAAAGCTTCCTGTAGACAAACAAATCACTAGAGTGGAAATTTTGAAGAGGGATCTTTTTTTTTTTTATATAATAATAATAGCGACGAGGGCTCCTTAAATTTCTCTTTTTTGGAGCAAAATTTGTAAAATTTTGTGAACTTTATAGATTATTTGATGTTTTGATGATAATAAATATTATTAATTATGTTAAACTTTTACTGTTATATTTGTATGGACAAGCTTTCTACTTATACTAGTCATAGCAAGTATATATTAGAAGTCTGACATATGACTGAAGATATAATATGATGGAAATTAAAAGCTTAAGAATGTTCACTTAGTTTGTGGTCAAGAGAGAAATGTCTATTCACACATGCATGAGAATGTAACCAAGAAAATTATTTAGAATAATAGAACAAGACAATTTGATATTTAACCAGCATATTATAAGATGATATAATCATACTATAGGAAGTGGATGATATTTTTGGTATTTTGAAAGATCAAGTAATTGATTAAGAAAAAAGTAGAATTAAAAATTTAGAATTAATCATTATTTGATGCAAATCTTATGGGATGATCAATAATAAAGAAATGATACAATTGATATATATTCCTTTTTTTAATTAGATCAATTCAAAAATTGAATAAATCTATTATACGATGCATATTCATACTGTACAATGATATAAGCAATTAATCTGATTAAGGCTTCGTTTGGAACAATTTTCTTACTGCTTCTTAAAGCAGCTTTTTAGTACAAATTTTTTAATTTTTATACTAGAAAGTAATAAGAAAGCCGTCCCAAACAAAGCAGCTTTTAAGACTCTCATATCTAAGAGCAATGTAAAAATCAAATTTGAAAAATATCGTATTGTACGAAAACATGCCGATCAAATAGAGATGATTTTTAGGAAATCCCTTAAATGAACTAATTGTGTTGTACGATCTATATCGTATAGTTAGGTAAAATAGAGAAGTTCTTTCTTGAAAAGTTTTGTTTGAAATTTTGTTTGACAGTAGTTATAGGGTTTCAAATCAAAGTACCTCAATATAAATGCTTATCTATAAATTCAAAAATATAATTTTTAGTGGTGAGATGCTACTATTATTTGAGAGATTGGAGAGACAATTTTCTCATGCTACATTTCTTGTTTTGAGTTTTTCCACCACTTAGAAAGAGGCTTGTGTGTGAGATTTTTAGTACTTTGCTCAAATTATATCCTTGATCCTCTTATTTGAGAGTCTAAAGTTTTGATTTGAAATTTTTTTTATAACCTGATTGTAAAAGATCTATTGATCTCAAGAAAGAGCTTCTTGTATTATGCAAATTAATAGATGGGCTAGGATATTTATACTTTTCATGGGAGAAAAGAGGTGCAAGGGATTTTCGAATACCTTGCGAAGGACAAAGGCTTCTCCGCCATATGTGGAGCAAAATGAGTTTAATGGAATTCTAGAGTAAATGACTTGGGGTGTGGATGTAGGCTAGTAAATCGAACTACTATAAATCTGATTTGTATCTCTTTTATGCATTTTATTCATTTTGCTACTTATAGTATCTAAAGATGATTATATCCTCTTGTGATCTAGTGAGTATGAAAAATAAATTTTGGTATTAAAATTATTAATCTCATCCTTAAGCTAAACTAAGTGTTTTATAAAAATTAAAAATGAGAAGGTTTTGTTTCTTGATTTCAATCATGTTTTTAGGTAGTTATACTTATCTTTAAGATTAAATCATATTGTTGTTGATAATAATAATAATAATAATAATAATAATAGTTGATTAAACTTTTTATTATCCTAATAATAATAATTGATAAGTCATCAAAAATCACCTTGATTCCGAATGAATCTTGAGGCATATCCAAACTAGAAACTTCCAAATTAAATGTGGGACTATCTGAACTCTAATTTTAATAAACTTATAGTCAAACTGAACATCTAAAAGAGATAAACTCATTGACATCAAAATCAGTATAATATGAGCCCAAACTGGTCCAAATTAAGAGTTTGAAGCACATTTAGATGGCTCGAAATATAAATTGGATGATCAAATGATATCCAAATATAGCATGCTTACAGTCGAATCAAGCAGCCCACCGACAAAGATCCCTCCGACCACAGTCACCCTTCGAGTATGATCCCTCCAACCACTGTCACCCATCGAGTATGATCTCTCCAACCACTGTCGTCCGTAAACTACAATCCCTCCGACCTCGATTGCCTACCGACTATGATCGCTTTGACCTCCGTCACCAGCCGACTACGATCACTCTGACCTTCGTTACCCACCGATTATAGTCCCTCTGACCACTATTGCCCGCCGACTACGTTCCCTCCGATCATCGTCGTTCGTAGACTACGATTCCTTTGACCTCCATCTCCCGTCGACTACGGTCGGTCCTTCTGACCACCGTTATCTGCCAACCGACTACAATCCCTTTGACCTCCGTCGTCAAACTACTGCCCTACCAAACAAATGCACATATTAACTCTCTCTTAAAAACAACTCTCATATCAGTAGTTAGATTCTTTCAACTCCCACCATGAAGTATACTATCTATTTCCTACATTAGGCCAACATTTTCACCAAGAAAGGACATCATTTGTAATCAACAATAAACAATAGTTGGTTCATTTCAACTGGGTCATATCCCATGATTTTTCTCCCTTTTCAGAGTTTTCTACATAAAAATTATGTTGTCACTTATCACTTTTGTACCCCACTCTTTTTATCTGTGTGCTAGATCTTCGTATAAAACTAGAATGTTAAACTGCCTCTCTACTATCGTGAATGTTCTACGACACAATAATAATAATAATAATAATAATCTCTTAAAAAAAATTGAGATATCTAAATTTTAAAGTCAATACTTTTTGATTGATTGTCAAAGTTACAAACCAACATATCAATGTGAGGTGTCATAACCACCCAAAATCATCACACATGAAGCTGAAAATTGGGTGACATTTCTCAATTCCTTTTTACTCCAACAGAACACAAAAAAAATTTTAGTTTTCTTACCACCTTTTGACATCTGGAATCTGCAACCCGTTTCCCTTTCCCGTCAAAGAAACCTCATTGAAAGTTTATCCCATTCTTCCACCTCCTACCCAAAAAGCAGCCTCTTTTTCATCTTCGTCTCCATGGGTTTTCTCTCAACGAATCCAATTCTTTATCCTCCCTCCCCACCAATGCCATCCCTTCCCGCCTCAAACACCTTCCCCCAATTTTTAACCCACCCAAATCCACCATTTCTTCTAATTCACCGACAGAAATGGCAAAAAGACGAGGTACAGCCGCCTGCGCGATGCTGCTCCTGCTGCTTTCCTCTGTCACATTTCAATCGAGGGAAGGAGAGGCTTTGTGCAGCAATTGGGGGACGCGGTCGACTCATCCGCTTCCCGCCAACATCGTGGTGCAACTGCTTAAAGACAATGGATTCGATAAGGTGAAGCTCTTTGAAGCTGATCCCTTTGCGCTTCAGGCCCTCGGCCGCTCTAATATCCAGGTCATGGTCGGGATCCCTAACGAGATGCTCGCGCCGCTCGCCGCCAGCGTTCGCGCGGCGGAGCAATGGGTGCTGCATAATGTGTCGACTTATATCTCCAAAAATGGCGTCGATATCAGGTGCCATGCAATTTTACAGTGTACCACTCAATCCATCCATTTTGCAGATGTTTAATAATTTTAAAATATAAAAAGTACTCATCTTTATGATTATTAATGAAAAAAATATTATATTTATGGGAAAATTTTGCAAAAAGAAACATTTTGAAGCAATTATTTAAAGTTGGAACCCTATACAGGTACGTGGCAGTAGGCAACGAGCCGTTCCTGAAGACCTACATGGGCATGTTCCAGCAGACCACCTTCCTCGCCCTGCAGAACATCCAGGCCGCCCTAATCAAAGCCGGCCTCGGCCGCCAAGTCAAGGTCACAATCCCACTCAACGCCGACGTCTACCAATCCTCCAACGGCCTCCCCTCCAGCGGCGACTTCCGCCCCGACATTCACGACCTAATGCTCTCCATCGTCGGTTTCCTCCGCGACAACGGCTCCCCTCTCACAATCAACATCTACCCCTTCCTCAGCCTCTACGCCGATCCCCACTTCCCCGTCGACTACGCCTTCTTCAACGGCGCCGCTAACCCCCTCGTCGACGGCCCCATCACTTATACCAACGTCTTCGATGCTAATTACGATACCCTGATTTGGGCGTTGGAACGAAATGGCTTCTCCGACATTTCCGTCATAATAGGGGAGATTGGGTGGCCGACCGACGGCGATCCTAATGCTAATGTCGACAACGCGAGGCGGTTCAACCAGGGGCTCTTCGACCGCATCGCGAAGCGCATGGGAACGCCGAAGCGGCCCACGCCGCCGGATATCTATGTGTTCGCGCTTATTGATGAGGACGCCAAGAGCGTCCAGCCGGGGAACTTTGAGAGGCATTGGGGGGTGTTTTACTACGACGGTTCCGTCAAGTACCCGCTCGTGCTGGCCGATGGGAGAAGCCTCGTTCCCGCTAAGGGAGTCAGGTACTCTTACTTCTATACTATATAAACAAAGCATTATATAATCCTCGTACTCATCTACTGTAATAGATGAATGAGCTAAATGAAGAAGTATTGTGAAAGGTACATGGAGCCGCAGTGGTGCGTGATGGCGCCGGAGGCGAGCTTGACGGATCCGCAGCTTGGAGGAAGCGTGGAGTACGCGTGCGGGTACGCGGATTGCACGAGCCTCGGAAGAGGATCTTCTTGTGGGGACCTTGACGCTCGTGGCAACGTCTCGTATGCCTTCAACCAGTTTTATCAGACGGCGGATCAACAGAAGGGGGCCTGTGCATTTGGAAACCTTTCTGTGATCACGCGATCGGATCCATCACTGGCGACGTGCAGATTCGAGATCATGATCGACGTTGGCCGACACGACAAGTCCGTCAATTCCAGCGCGGATGCTTCGGCGGTCGGAGTTCGGGGTGTGGCTGCAGGGGTTGCGGCGGCAGCGGCCGTGACCCTTGTGATGTGGAGTAGTTCGTAAATAATGGGTTTTAAGCTGCTCTGTTCCTGTACAGGACGGTTGGTTACTTGTTTGTTATTTTTTGGGGTGTAGAGAGGGGCAAATTATTAAGTCCGGTGTCCTGGACATCAATTCAGGTGCGTCAAGTCATCAAAATACATCGGCCCCGATGTATTTGGGTGACGTGACGTATATGGATTGAATGTCCAGACGTCCAGTACCCAGACGTAATAATTGGCCGTAGAGAGGAGAGGAAGGTGATTGGGATGGAGACACTTTGGATAGGGATTCGTTGGTGTAAACTTGCACTAAAAACTTTCACACATAATTGAATTTATTTATTTATTTATTTTAGCAATTACCTATATATATCAACTATTCAACTAATATATTAATATTTGCATATTAATACTTATAATTTTTTTATTTACATAACAGCTAAAACAATCAGATTAAAACAATGTGAATAAAAATATTGCAGGCAAGGGCATCTATGAGTTAATTGGCATGTCTAGAGATATCTGCTAATGGAGTCAATGAAATGCTTCATGATATAAATAATTGTTTTCATATGTTAAATATGTAAATCCTTATAATTTAGATGCTACGCATGTAAATATCCCTTTATTTTTATTTGAGTTCACATCATTGCTCATAGCTAGATGATTTTTTTTTTAAACTAGAAATTGTAACGTTAATCTTTATTTAAAAAAAAAAAGGTTTAGTTTTGTAAGTTTTAAAACTAAATATTAATTAATACAATCTTGTGTTGAATTTCCAAAACATAACTTCTACCTTTATGAAATTTGTAAGCAACTTCTATTTGATATTTTCCAAGCAAAATTAAAATATATAGAAATTTACAAACAATTCAAAACAAGCCAATCAAAAAATCTTATTTAGGGTTTGGATTTTGATCTAATCATTCAATGTAAATGTATTTATATTATAACACTCAACAAAAGGAAAAAAGAAAAAAGATTTTTAATATAAAATATTACACGATTCGAGTTAACATTTCACTGGACCACTTGGCTTGATTCACAATGTGGCGCCGAGTTGATGGAAGTTATCTGTAGGTTCAGAAAGTAAAGCCTTAAAACCCTTAATCATGTGTAGTGATATCTGAAGCTTTAGTCATGTTTGATAAGATTTGTGTTTAGTATCTTTGCTTTTGATAAAAATCTAACGCACACACATAAAAACATACAAGATCAAAAACTTTTTAAGTGAAAAATACAAAAAGGGGAAAAATTCATTGGGCCCGGTGTAGCTATAAAATTCAATATAGATTAAAAGATATAAGAACCATCCCTTCTTCACTCTTGAATTAAATAGGATTATTTATAATTGAAAACAACCGTCTGATTTTTCTCATTGGGTTTGCAAAAGTTAGACATCTATAGGAGGACAATTAAAACCCTCTGCAGGGTTAAATGTTGACAAAAGCCTGATGATGGCGGTGGTAATTTCTAGTGGTGTTCGTTGACAGTAATAAACGAGAAATGCAAGAGAGTTCTTTAGGTACTTGAACCTTCCATTATGTATAGAATAGAGTCCTATTTATAGGCTTTTTGATATGAACATTCTGAAAAATTTGACCATAATCCAAAACACTCCATTGTAAAGTCCGTATTGATCCTCTTAGCCATAAATTATTTATCAAATATTTAAACGTCTTAACAATGTTATAATTAAGAGTTCTTAGACTCATTAGATTCAACTCATTAAGTCACTCAATGACTACAAGCACATCAAAATTGGAGATCTTTTGATCCCTCAATAATATTTATTAATTTTAAATTATATTTCATGTGCTTGATTTAAACTTATTAGGAGTCAGATTGGATTACTTATAGTGTCAATTCGTTCATCTCATTAATAAGTTCAATTTGACTATAAATTTGTTAAAAATTGAATTCTAATAATCCTGTATTTAATTACGAAAGTTTTCAATTCGAATATTATGTTAAGCTTCATGTCGATCACTAGAAATCTTTAGAAAAGTACCAATTATTCTGATTAATTCATAATATTTATAATTGTTTTAAAATAATATATTAAATTTGAAGATATTACATCTAAATTTTAAATTTTAATATAAAAAACTAAATAAAAAATAAAGGCACTAATAATTTTTAAACATAAAAATAAATTTATAATTATTAATCTGAAATTAGAGATTCTTTTCACTCCTAACAATTTAAAAACAATCGTGATAAAAAATTATCAAAAAATGTCTTAATTTCTCCTATTATAAATAAATATTTTAAAATGATAATTTTCTTTGAAAAAAAATAATTATCTACTTAATTTAATTTTTCATCAAAACAATTATGAGTGCCTCTCTCTTCTTCTTTAATATTTTATACATAAATTAAAAATAGCTACATATAATATTTTTAAAATAAGATGCAAATATTTGCATAAATTTTTAGTGGCAGTCAAAGAGCAGGATGCTGCCACGTCAGACATGAGCGTGCTTCAACCAGTTATTTATGAGTGGGTCCCAGCGATGCTGTGCTTGCGCAGTATTTGCCAAGCACCAGCTCAGATGCGCTTAGCTTCTTTCCATTTCTGTGGTATCATCCGCAACTTGGGCTTGTCCTTATACTATTTAACTTCTTATGGTTTCATTAATAATTAGTGCTATACTTGTCAAAGAAATTTAATTTTTTATTTTAATTAATTTGCTAATGGTAACATTAATCCTATGCTTATTAGCTCTAATTTTATTTATAAGCTTGTTACTCTTTTTAATTTTAAGAAATTTCTCAACCTAATTTTAGGCATTTTCAATCCTAAGAAATTTTAAGAAAAAATTATAAAAAAAAATCTATGAAAAATACATTTTCAATCCAATTTGCTTTGTTAAATGTAACATAGCAGGGGAAACATTTTTGTTCTTGAGATTAATATTTTATAAGTTATAGATTATTTTTATAATAACATATATATATCATTCCTCTTATAAACATGTTTTTCTTCTTACTATTGGCATTTTTGTTCTAAATAATTGAAAAGAATGTAATATAAGATTACATAATATGTCCCACTCCACTCTAATTTGCTCATGTTAGAGTTTTTTTGTTAAGAGCTTGTTCAAGCTCGGTTCGAGCTCGATTTAAGCTTTTTAGTTTGTTTTCAACTTTTGTTCATTCAAAATGATACATGTTCATGATTGATTTGCATTCGGTTTGTTTTCTGCTTATCGAGCTCTAAACGAACGGTTCATTTATAAATTAATAAACGAGCATTATCAAGCAATTAATAAACGAGCCATATCGAGCTAGTAATGAACAAGCCTTATTTAGCTACTAATAAACAAACCTTATCAAGCTATTAACGAACAAGCCGAGCTATTGACAAACGAGCCTTAAATGAGTAGCTTATCAAGCTCTCTCATATCTTTAAATGGCATGGACCGGTATCTTCTCGAGCTCATAAATGATAATATTAATGAATGAGCTTCTTAATGAGCCTTGGAAACAAACATAAACAAGCATATTTTGATTGGAAACAAACATAAATGTGTGAATACCACAAGGGAATAAAGAGAGTAATATTTTATTTCAATTAAAGTGAAAGCAATATCGAATTGAATCTTAGCACCCATATTGTCACAATAAAATGACATAGAGATTGCAATTGTGAGATTATTCATCACTTCTATAGTGAGATAAACTGATATTTATATCAAACATTAATTGAGTTTTACCACGAGCATATTTAAGAGTTTCTTATCGAGCTTCATAACAATAGAAAAATATTCAAACTTGCTTAACTACTTAATCAAACAATCACCAACGAGCTATGATCGAGTCGAACTACGAATAACTTATTGAACGTTCAATTCATTTGCAGCCATATGTAGAACATAAACTTTTTCTCCATCCAAATAGCACTTTTCTATTAGAATTTGATCAAATACTTCACAACTATTCTATTGATAATTTAAATGTATCTAGCCAAGAATTATTTAATTATGAAATGATTCAAGATCCAAGAAGTAAAGAGGTGGTTATTAAGTTCATAAATTCAAGTCAATCATTTAATGAAACACCATTACCTAGAGGTGTTAATATTTGATATGACCCGAAAACCTGACTCGTACCCGACCCAAAAAATTCGGGTTAGTGTCAACCTTTTTGTGAAACTGGCTGAGTTCGAGTTCAACAAATCGACCCGGTTCAAAAACCGGGTCATGCTTGGGGCGACCCGAAAACCCGGGAATTACCTGGAATGACCCAACATATTGAACATGACCGTGTCATTTGCCCGCACAAATTGAACCTGAACACGTCAAGTGACCGGGTCGAGTCTCGCATATGTCAGCGCTGTCGAGTTTGCCCACGTCTGCCGCACTCTCATCGAGTTGTGTGTCACGTCGAGTATGCCCGCGTTGAGTCTTGTGTAGTGTCAAGTCCAGTTGCTGTCGCAGCCACGTTGTCGAGTGGCTGAGGTACCGATGTAGGTGTTACCGTGCAGCTACCAGTACTATTCAGCGGCTAAATGAGAACATAAAAATGGGTCGGTTTTGGTCAACCCGGTAATCCACGCGGGCAAGTTCGGGTCGCACGAGTCAGATCTGGGTTGAAATATTTGACCCATTTATGAAAACGGGTGGGGTCAATTAGTGCCTGATCAGTTCTGAATTGAACCTGAATCCAACCATCACCATATTTTAACAGCCTACCCTTAACTCATTCAAAAAAATAAATAAATAAGCTATACTATTTAATTCATCCATGCTAGGGGTGTCAATTTTGGGTCACGGGTCGGATTCGGGTCGAATCCGAAACTGACCTGACACTAATCGGGTCAACCCAAACCCAATCCGTTTTTGCAAACGAGTCAATTTTTGGGACCCAAACCCAACCCACCTTGGGTTTGGGTCAACCCAACCCGACACAGATTTGTGCGATTTGGCTAAAGAAGCGTGAGAAGATAGCTGGCGAACGGACCAGCGGCGGACACAACTGCTGGCGGACCTTTGCGCGCGAAGATAGCTAGCTTGACGCGGTGACTCCGTTTGCGGGCGTGGGAAGGCCACGATCATTGACAGCGGATCCTTGCGCGGGAAACATTCTGGAATGCCTATGGGCTTAAGCCTTGATCGGCTTGACGCGGACGGCAAACCGCAGACACGACATCACGACAGACTCGAAATTCGGACATAACGGATGACGCGAGGGATGGACGCAGACGTGAATGACGAGAACCCGAGTCAAACCGGGTTGTTTCCGGGTCAACCCTAACACGATTACAAACAGGTTGAAATCTCTAACCCGAACCTGACCCGGTTCGGATTTAGATTGACCCAAACTCGAAATTTTCGTACGAATTCAAGTCAAATTTTTTAGTCATGCACAATATTGACACCCCTAATCCATGCAAACCATTATCCGAAGTATCTCCACTAAGGGGAGATCACTCATCACAGAAGAGTTTTAAATCCAATGAATAACATAAAATAATAATGATAAATTGTCGATTTTACTTTGTTTTTTTATGAAGCAAACCTTTAATATTATTTTGTGAGTATAAATAAACCTCTAATATTATTCCAAATGTGTGACAACTGACCAGCCATGACGCAGAGGAGGACCCACCACATCCCATCAAAGCAGGACACAGTGGAAAAGCTCATAAGGACAACAGCCCTATTCTCGTTCAATGAGAAAGTACATCATATTATACAAAAATAAATACTACTAAGTCAATCTACATGCATGAAATCAACAAAGTTCATTCCATTCCATCAATCCAAGAACACGCAGATGCGATCCTCTTCTCCTATAATCGACAACCCCATAACTTAAGCCCAATAAAAATGGAAATTTTGGCTCAACAACTCAGATTTATGATCCCTTCACGAAGAGAATAGTAAGTTTCTTCATCGAGAAAAGATTAGAATTTGAAAAAAACCATCCGCTTTATCTCCTTTCCTTCTTCTCCCATTAATGGCGGAGTCGATCGGTCAATGGGATAAACTTGAACTTTACTCTCTCTGTGATGGACTGCGCCAGAAGCCATTGCCGAACAAGTGGGGCCACATCTCCTTCTCCAGCTCTGAGACCTCCGCCGCAGGCGACTTCGAGGGCAACAGAATCCCCTTCGCGGGCAATGGAATCCCATGTACCACCGCTGCAGGCGAGGCGGAGGTGATATCAGCGCCGGAGGCTTCGGATTCCGCCTTCTTTTTCCGAGCGGCGCGGCGCTTCTTCCTCTTCCGCAGCGCACGGCGGCAAAGACATGCCGGAAGCTTCACGATGGTGAGAACGAGGAGGTTCACGAGGCCACACGGACAGCAACAGACCACCGCCGCGCACTCAGCCGTGGTGCCGCCGGCGACCTCTGCTACACGTTTACTCGGCCTCGCCGGCTCCTTTAAGATCAAAGGCTGCCTTCTCGCCAGATTCGTAACTGGTGCTTCCGTGCGCGACATCGGAAAGGAAAATCATACAGTCATTTTATGAGAAAATAGCCACCTTTCCATCTCTTTCTGGTTTCCCTCAGCCAGCGAATGAAGCTTGATCTCCTTCCGGCGAAAGAGCGACTCTGGCGGCGCGCTGTGCTTTCATTCGCGAATAAAGGGAGAAGATAACTTCAAGACCTTATGAAAGGGTTCCTGCATCCTACTGTGCTTGGCTCAACATCATCCGCCCACGTGGCGTCAGAATCGTCCGACGGTGCAGCTTAGCTTGTACCGCGGTACAGCGGATCTCGAATGGCTACGTGGAAGCCAGCCAGGAAGGCTAGGAAGAAGAGGGGATTGGGCTACATGAGCGGCTACAGCTGGAATGAGTGGCATGTGGTTTGTTGGAAAGAATTTTGTGTAGAGGGGTCTCACGTCAGGAATTGGTAACGGGCGACGGAGTTGCGCCGCGGATCCCGTGCTATCGCTCTCGTGTGGGAGAAATTATTTAATAGTGCCGAATTCGAATGTATTTAGAGGCGAAATTGGATATGCCGCATCACCAGATGGATTAGGCTCCGATGATGTGGCATGTTCAGATTCGTCTTCAAATACATTTGAATTCCGCACATAATAATTTCTCCTCGAGTGGAACGGCGCAGGCCTATTGACATGTTCATAATAGTAAAATAATATACTATTTATTATTATTTGTTTAATGTACTATTTATTATATTTTCTAGGTGTAGCCTCTCCCATTGTAATAATTCAAAATTTCATATAAAATGAATTTATTTGAAAATATGTTGCACTGGCTACTGGCTAGTGCAGCGACGCTCTGCTCTACAATAACCCTGATTTCATCATGCAGCGTTATGGTTTGTAGTGCCGTCACACTAGTTACTGAATGTATATAGGCCAAATTTTCAGAAGGAGCATTTTTCGTGTGGAATTTAGCAGTAGGAGCGCGAAGAGAAAATTTGATAAGCAGCCAATACGCCGTACAGTTAAGCGCATTCAAAGAATGCGCTTTTCATTAAGCGCTGTACGAAATAGCGCATTATATAGAATGCGCTTTTCGAAAAAGCGCATTATGTAGATTGCGCATTTTGGCTTGGCGTATTTCTTAGGGAATTCATCCATCCCGCTTGCAGTGACCCGAAAACTGAGAGGATTTTGTTTTTTAGCGGGGGCAAGATCCGATTTATCCGCGAAAGTAGTTGAAACGATGGTGAAATTTATGCTGGTAGCTGAATATGAGTGGTTGGGAGCTGATCATTGATGACGGAAATTGTTGAACTTCCGGCTATAAAAGGGCAGGCTGCGTTCTCGTTTACAAAGCAACGATAGCAAAGCTGTAGAGGCCTATTGACATGTTCGTAATAGTAAAATAATATACTATTTATTATTATTTGTTAATGTACTATTTATTATATTTTCTAGGTGTAGCCTCTCCCATCGTAATAATTCAAAATTTCATAAAATGAATTTGTTTGAAAATATATTGCACTGGCTAGTGCAGCGACGCTCTGTTCTACAATAACCCTGATTTCATCATGCAGCGTTATGGTTTGTAGCGCCGTCACACTAGTCACTGAATGTATATATGTTCTCATCATTCAACAACCCCCTAGCCTAGAGGAGAGAGAGAGAGAGAGAGAGAGAGAGAGAGAGGGAGGGGTTGTTTCATGACTTTTCATCCCTTATTTTTGTTACAAAAATATTATGATTGTTGTAAGTAACATTTGCTCTATATCTATAATGAAGAGTTGAATAGAAAATTTTTTGCATATGAAATTTTATTATTTAACATGAAGATATGAACTGAACAAAATTAGCTAAAATTCTGCGCATTAAGATTTTATTGTAGTAAAAAAATTATAAATGTTGTTGATACGTCATCAAAAAAATTATCTTGATTGGGCACGAATCTCGATGCAAAATCAAGTTGGAAACTTCAAAAATTAATTCAGAAACCATCTCAACTCCGATTTCAGTAAATTACAATCGAACTGAGCGTCTCGGAAATACGAACCCAGCGACACCAAATTCAACCCAATCCTAGCCCAAATGGATCCAAATCAAGGACCCGAAGCACTGTTGGAATGTTCAAACCACAATTTAAGTTACCAAATGGTTTCCAAATATGACGAGCTTATAGTCAAATCGAGCAGCTCGACGAGACGAATCCAACGAGCTTAAGATCACTAAATTTCAAAATCATTAAGGCCTCCAAATGCTTCACGAATGGTCCATGATCAAAGGATTCAATATCGGCCGTCAATCCAACCACTCCCCATTTACCCTTGATCTCTCACCTATTTACGGGTCATGCCACTCCAAAATCCTATAAATAGACCCCTCATTTCTCTTGAAAAATGATCCAAGCAAGAAGAGAAGAGAAGGAAGAGAAGGAAGAGAAGGAAGAAGCTCCTCCTCAACCTTCGCTGGAGTTTCGCCGGACCACCGCTGGAGCTTCGCCGGACCACCACCTAAGGCCCTCGCCTTCGCCGAACCACCGCCTGATGCCGTTGCTTCCCCGGACCACCACATGAGGCCCTTACCTCCACCAGACCACCGCCAGACTCCGTTGCTCCGCCGGACCATCGCCTGACGCCTTTGCTCCGTCGTACCATCGTCTGACGCCGTTGCTCCGTCGGACCACCACTTGAAGTCCTCACCTCCGCCAGACCACCGCTTGACGCCGTTGCTCCGCTGGACCACCACTTGAGGCCTTCACCTCTGCTGGACCACCGCCGGACCACCACTTGAGGCCCTCACCTCTGCTGGACCACCGCCGGACCACCACTTGAGGCCATCACCTCCGCCGGACCACCGCCTAATGTAGTTGCTCCATCGGACCACTACTTGAGGTACTGTGCTCCACCAAGCCATCACCTGAGGCTTGAACTTATGTTGGGCCACCACTTGAGGCCCCAAGTTCTACCAGGGCACCACCTGACATTCAGACTTCTACTGGACTATGACCAAAGGCCTGGACTTCCACCAGACCACTGCTTAAGGCCCTATGCTCCACCAAGCCACCACTTGAGGCCAGAACTCCGCCGGACCACCACCTGAGGCCTAGACTTCCACCGGACCACCACTTGAGGCCCTGTGCTTCACCAGGCCACCACCTAAGGCTCGAACTTCCGCCGAGCCATCACTTGAGGCCCTGTGCTCCACCAGAACATCATCTGAGGCCCGGACTTCTGCTGGACCACCACTTGAGGCCATGTACTCCACCAGAACATCACCTGAGGCCCAGACTTCCGCCGGATCACTACTTGCGGCCTTGAGCTCCACCAGGCCACCACTTGATGCCCAGAGTTCTCCTAGAATACTGCCGACCTACATGACCTGGCAACAATATTTCTAACCCTGGTCTCCTGCCGACTACGGTCTTTCTGACCTCCGTCACCTACTATGGTCCATCCGACCTCCATCACTTGACAACGATCTTTCTGACCCTGGTCTCCTACCGACTACGGTCCTTCCAACCTCCATCACCAGACAATGATCTTTCTGGTCTCCATCCTATCGACTATGGTCGTGCCGACCAATCAAACATGTCTATATTATAACTCCCACCATGTAATGCACTCTATATGATGTACATTTGTATCATCAAGCTAAGGCCTTCTCCCAAGGAAGGGCTTCATTTGTAATCGACTGCAAATACTAGTGGATTCATTCAAACTGGGTCAGACCCCATAGTTTTTCCTCATTTTTAGGGGTTTTCCATGTAAAAACTATAACGTCTATTATGAATGTTACACACTCTCTCCTATCTGATGGTGTGCTAGATCTTCGTACAATGCTAAGACGTTAAACTATTTATTTTTCTACTACCGCAAATACTCCAGGACGCAACAGTTGTAAAATGAAAAATTATGAACACATTTCTTGACATATTATTCGAGTTTGAATGAGAAATAGAATAATGGATAGGGCTGCAAATGAATCGAGCCGAACCGAGTATGTGAGTGTTCATGTTTGTGTTCATTTAATATCAGCTTGTTCATGTTTGGTTCATGTTTGTTCGAGCTTTAACATTTGTGTTCATGTTTGGTTCATTTAAATTAAGGAGTGTTCATGTTCGATTCATGTTCAGTTCATGTTCGTTCGTTTAGTGTTTATCGAGCTTGTTCGCGAACATATTTAACTAATTTTTTTAACTATCAAACAAACATGTTCATGAACATATCAATGAACAAACACATTTATAATAAAAGCAATTGTCTATATAACAAAGGTAATGATTATTTATATTTATTAATTCTATAGTCAAATATTAATTATTTTCATCGAGCTTATTCTAGAGTTCAAAATCGAACACGAATCGGGCTTTTATCTAGCTTCTTATCGAGCTTAATGTCGAGCTTGTTCACGAACTTCAAATGATGTTGTTCGCGAACATAATGAGCCGAACACATTAGTGTTCAAGTTTGTTTATTTAAGAATCGAGTATTTAAAATATTATTCAAGTTTGTTTGTTTAGTTAATTAAATGATCTCAAACGAGCTTTAATCGAACCGAACAACGAGTAGCTCGTGGAACGTTTGGTTCGCTTGCAGCACTAATAATGGATAATAATTATCACATTTTGTAAGAAAAATGAAATGGAGAAAGCGGAAAGACATTAATTTTAGGCTAATTAACTTATTATATAGAAACTGTTCATCTAAAAATTAACAAGCGGGTCCATAGCTCAGTGGTAGAGCAATTGACTGCAGATCAATAGGTCACCGGTTCGAACCCGGTTGGGCCCTTGAGCTTTATTTGTTCTTCTCGTTTTCAACGACGATATTTTCGGCTACAAAACTGCCGCTAAAATATCACGATATAATGTTTTTTAATGCTTTGTACTAACGACGAGATTTTCAACTGCAGAAACGGCCGCTAAAAAAATATCACGATAAAATGCTTACTCTGCTTGACAGCTTGTTCTGTAAGTTTATATTTTAAAGGATAAAAGAGGCAACGACTGCTTTCGCCATTTTCATGGGATGGGACAATATCAAAATTTTTATTAATTTGGCAGGTAAAAATAATATTTTATTTAGAATAATTTTTTTATTATTTTAAAAATAATTTTTTATTATTTTAAAAATAATTTTTTTATTATTTTAAAAAT